AGTATTAAATATATAATTAGGAAATACATTCCAAGGACTTTCTCTATTCTTCATAAACTCTATCAACCATTTAATTTTAAAAGTGTCATTGAGAGTATTATAATCTAAGACCTCCAGTCCCCCTTGCTCTTTAGGATTACAAATTACCTCCTTTTTTAAATAATGTGGGGGGTTTTTCCAAATAAAGTTATAAAGAATCTAAACTAGATCTTTAATAATCTTGGGAGGCACATCTAACGATAATGATGTGCAAACAGATCTAGACATACCTTCCTCCTTTGACAATAATACCCTCCCAAATATTGAGATGTCCCTCATTATGGGGGGTTTTTCCAAATAAAGTTATAAAGAATCTAAACTAGATCTTTAATAATCTTGGGAGGCACATCTAACGATAATGATGTGCAAACAGATCTAGACATACCTTCCTCCTTTGACAATAATACCCTCCCAAATATTGAGATGTCCCTCATTAACCACAAATTAAATTTCTTTTTAGTTTTCTCAATAATTGGTTCAAAAATTTAACTGACTCCTATGTTTTTCATTTTTACAAATTATTACACCTAAATATGTTAATTTATGTTTGGCTGGAATATTCTCTATTTCTGAAGAGGAGCAATCTTTGAGGGGAAATAATACAGGTTTATCTAAATCAATCTATCAATATATCTAATTATTTTTGGTACTTCAAATTTGTTTTTCAAAAACACTGTAGTGCCATCAGCAAACTAGTTTAAACTGTAAACCTAAAGCTGTGATACCATTCAATTGATTTCTTTTTATATGCGATGCTAAACCTTGAGTGACTACCAAAAATAAAAAAGGCGAGAGAGGGCATCCTTGCCTAATGCCACCATGAATGTCAAATCTTTGTGAGGTAACATGAGCAAGTTTGACAGAACTATTACACCCATTATACAATGGTTTATCTGCTTTCAAAAACATATCTCCAAAACCAAACAATTTAATAACTGTGAAAACAAAATTATGAATCACCGTATCAAATGCTTTATAGAAATCAATAAATAAACTATCATCCTCAATAAAGTGATTATAATCAATCATATCTAAGACTAGTCTAATATTATTCCTGATATGACGGCCTTGCATAAACCCAGACTGTTCTATATCAATTATTTTGTCTAAACCTTGCTTCGGTCTTATAGCAAAAATCATTGTAAAGAATTTACTGTCATTATTTAATAAACTAATAGGCCTCCAATTTTCAATGAATAACTTGTCTTTATTAGGTTTGGGAATCAGTGTTATAATTCCTTGTTTTAATGAAACAGGCAATTCACCATTTTGTATAGGCTAGTTTCTACAAATACTAACAATAAGACAAAAAAAAAAGTTCTTTAGAAAAAGTCTTGTAAAAGTTGCCTGGAGATTTGTTATTCTTTATTTGTTGAATAACTCTTCTTTTTTTTTTTATTAAGTACAAAATCTGAATACAACAAACTGGCATTAATTAGTATACAAAAAAGATTCTGGTATGGAAGGCTCAACACAATAGAATCATAATAAGCTCCAGACAAATCATATAACAAAACATTCCAAGAAACATCAAATACAAATCAATTAAATAATAAAAAATACATAATTACAACAAATTATATAATACAAACAAATTAGGTAGTTTTATTGCTTTTGGAGTTTTCATTTTACTAAGGGCATCTGAGAAGTATTTTAGATCAATTTGAAATACAATAAACAAAGGAGGGGATTTAAAATATCTACATTTATTTATAAAGTATTTTGCTAATAATATAATATTATTAATCAAATCGTACAAAACAGAGCACTCTTTGGTTATATTCCGTACATTACATCTTGTAAGGTTAGAGTTAAACCATCAACAATCCCCCCCCTCTCTACCATCCAGTCCTGCAATGCTTTCCAAAAAGACTGCGACAAACTACATGTAAAAAATACATGTTCTGTATCTTCAACTAAACATTTGCATAAATAATGTTGAATAACTCTTTTTTTTATGGGTTTTAATGTTTTTTTATTTTTATTTTTTTATTAAGAACATTATATACACAAAGATAAAAGCAGTCACAATGTAGAACAAAAGGGAAAAAAAGAAAGAAAGAAAACTACAGGGTACAAAACAGGGGTATATAACTAATCACAAAAGATCACATCAAAGGAAAAGATTAAAAGACTTACACATTTCAGTTGTTTTTAAAGCCTTCTTGTTACACGAGTTAAAGATAGTCCCAAAGTAATGCTGCAATTCAGCAAGCAAAACATAAAACAGGGTTTTTTTTACCTGAAAATTGATGTTGAATAACTCTTTCAAATTAAATTCGGAGCCCGCATACGTCATTTTCCTGCGCCAAACAGCTCGGAGTCGGAACGCGTTGCGCTAACGTTCAATATGGCGTTAAGCAAAACATACGGACAGAAACCTATTAAATTCCAACTAGAGGAGGATGAAGAATTTTACATGATTGGATCAGAGGTGTGTAATTTAACGCACTAAGCTATTTTATGTTTGTATAAACCGAATATTGTGTTGCATTGAGTGCTAATACACCAGCTAGCTTGCTAAGATTACCGTCGATTGGGATAAGATCGCTAACTGAGGATTCATGGAAAGGAGTCAGTCCCGGCGTTTTACACATCAGGTCTATACCTGATATACCTGGGTGTCCTTTGCGGTGTAGTTGCATTATTACACGATGTGAGCTCACCGGAGATAAATAGATAAAGAGTACAGACACTGGCAGAACTACGGCTAATTATTTAGTCAGCCCTGTTCCATTATGTGTCTGTGTTTAGGTGGGGAATTACTTACGTATGTTCAGAGGGTCTTTATATAAGCGCTACCCATCACTCTCAAGAAGGCTAGCGACAGTAGAGGAGAGAAAGAAAATAGTAGCATCATCTCACGGTAAGTGTGAATTCACTGTAAACATTTGATCAAAGGTCTGAGGATTTAAAAGGGTTCAAGTTGGCTGGAAGTGGCACTTTCTATCTTACAGTATAAGCAATGTTTTGTGTTAGATCACGGTTACACCACTTTAGCCACCAGTGTGACGCTGCTGAAGGCCTCCGAAGTAGAGGAGATATTTGAGGGACATGATGAGAAGTACAAGGCTGTGTCCATCAGCACTGAACCTCCAGCCTATCTCAGGTAAACCATTTCTCACCTTTGATGAAGAAAATGCATTCACACTTGCTTCAAATTTGAACATGGCCATTGCAGAGGATTCTTATGCATAACACAAATGACAACAATTACATTTTTCATAATTGACTATAATTGTACTCTTGTTACATTATGTAGATAATAAAAAGAAGACATTTAGTGCAATAAGCTTCTTTCGTTGGGCTTCTCCTTTCCTCTGTTTTTGCAAGAGATAAATTACATTCATATAAATATCTTAATTTATGAATTTTATATATATTTTTTCGTTTCAACAAACAACCCAAAAGAAAGAATCATATAATCATTTTATGCACCAGTTTATCAATACATAAACATCATCCACATATGGTTTAAATAGGAAAATGCCACACAGAGATCTGTACATATTTTCGGGTTATGGCATGAGTGAGGAAATTAATCTTATGGTACAGTATTTAGTGGACATGAGGCCCGTTCACACCTAGAACAATAACTATTAAAACAACTGTAACAATAAATATATTAGCATCCACACCAATGGACAATAACATTCTGTTGTTTATTATAAGGTCTTTTGTTTTGTTTTGTTCTTCATCCAGCCATAGTTGTTGAATGACAGCACATCTGCTTTAAAGGGGTCATATGTTGCTAAAAAGAACATTATTTTGTGTATTTGGTGTAATGAAATGTGTTTATGCGGTTTAAGGTTCAAAAAACACATTATTTTCCACGTACTGCACATTATTGTTTCTCCTCTATGCCCCGCTTTTCTGAAATGCGTCGATTTTTACAAAGCTCATCGGTCTGAAAAGCGAGGTGTGTTGTGATTGGCCAGCTATCCCAACCCTCTACATTGTGAGTAAATCGCTCGCATATGTGACTAAATCTTCACTCTGGGCGACTAAATTATGTCTAATATCAGCCAATGGCTAATAAATTCTCAGATTTTACTCGCCAGTGTGAGTTAGAGGCTAAGTATAAGTTTAGCACAGATATATTTTCACTCGCCAAACACTCTGAGCGCTTCAGAGTATCATTCTCTGTCAAGCGATCTGTGATATTTTCCATTTCATCTCAATGGATGTGCATGTGTATTTGGCGTAACGTAAACTGTAGTGTGAAGGCACACGACTCACCGTCGCTTTCTCTCACATGCGCAAAGAGAGAGAGAGAGAGAGAGAGTCTTACATAACATGCAGAATTGATGCGCTACATGTAAACGATATTCTTTGTTGTATTTTCCTGTCAAAATAACTATAATAATAATAATATAAAGAATTCTTCAGCTTGTAAGACCTGCCAGGTTCTCCGGTAGTGGGCGGAACTAATGTGCAGTGAAATCTCATTGGCTGGCGCTCACTTATTATCGTCCCTGTTTTGATTTCAGCAAATCAGTTCCAGCGAACGCATACAACCTGATTAACATTCATGAATCCAGCAGCTTGTTAATCCTTGGTGCGTTTTATATTGTTCTTATTAGTAGAATTTGTATATTATTATTAGTTTTTTTCCCTGACTGACCAAAAAAAGCACCACCACCAGTCCTAAGTTCAGTTAAAATGACTAATTTGCATTCATACATAGTTACCAAATTTTAATTCTAATTACTAAACTTCTATTATTAAACAATACTTGATTATCATATTATAATGCTTGACTGACTGATGTTAAGAGTGTACTTTCAGATATTTAAAAAGCTGTGCCATTTTACAAACATTTATATATATATAAAGGCTGGTACTAAACATGCTGAAATCAGATCATCTTCATGTTGAAGCTGCTGGTTTGGAGGACGACTCTGGATTCTAGATGACACATTGCATGTTTCATCTGCATCATCAGAGATGACATGAGGGGGGTTCAGCCCCATCATGTCTGCAAACTGGACTCTCTTTCCACGGACTACAGTCGGATGTTCCTTGTGTGAAGAAGATTCATCCTGGTATAGATCTACAGGCAGAGATTTGGCTCTGTGCTTTTCAGTTTTTGGTGAATAAGGTGATGATTCTGGTTCAGACAGACACTCGGTCTCATCCAAAGTTGGAGTTTTCTCTGACTGCTCAGTGTCCATGTGCATTCATCATATTGACCAATTCCGATGTAATTGAGGAGCAGAAAGTCTTTTAAATATAAGAACTGGACCTGCAGACTTGCGTAAGAAAGATGCTTGACAAATACTACGTGCACAGCAAAGTCACATGTCTTTGCAAACAAATGGGTGATGTCTAATCAGCAAAAAATGACTTTTAAAAGCCAGAAACCAGCCCAGGGCTTTTATAATCTTAGTTATTTAATATATTTATCAATAAATTTTGACCAATCAAGAGCATTTTAATTTAAGCTATTTTGACAAGATTTTTCTTTTTTAATATCATAAAATTCATATTTATTTAGAGTAGCCCAGTTTTTTTTTATGTATGTTTAATGTATAATAATAAACAAGAATCGTAAAGAACATCCAGTCTTTAAAGTCACATTTAGTCTTCTACTGTATGTAATCTGGTCTGTCAATCACTGTCTAGTGCAGAAACAGTATGAGGTACTGCAGAGGGATTGTGCGCACATGTATCTATTTACACTCTTCATGACACAACAGAGTGCAGTCAGTTTCATAATTATTTTCTCATCATTTACTCACCAAGTTGTTCCAAGCCTCTATGAGTTTCTTTGTTCTGGTGAAGGTATTTTGAAGAATGTTCAACTAAATTAAACTAAACTGTTTGGTTACCAACATTCTTCAAAATATCTTCTTTTGTGTTCAACGGAAGAAAAAAGTTCATACAGGTTTGGAACAACTTGAGGTTGAGTAAATTATGACAGTTTACATTTTTGGGTGAACTATCACTTTAATTTTAGAGGATTCTTTTGGATTGGTTCCAAATTATGATTAAATACCCTAACGATTTCCTTGAAAATGTCTTACAAATTCAAAATTGACAAAAAGGGGGAATTGCTAGAGTTATTTTTTTTTGTAAGACGTTAACACTGCATCATATTATTATTATTATTATTATTTAGTTCTAAAATAGTAACTCGATTAAGTTTTAAGTTAACGTACATTTATAATAACTCAGAATAACACAGACGTTTATTTTATTTAAACAGATAAGGTAACAAATCTGAACTGTTTTATTGTATGTTTTTTAATTGAAAAACAACCTATTTACATACAAATTCTGAACTGATTAATTTTTATTTTATTTTTTTTATTAAGTACAAAATCTGAATACAACAAACTGGCATTAATTAGTATACAAAAAAGATTCTGGTATGGAAGGCTCAACACAATAGAATCATAATAAGCTCCAGACAAATCATATAACAAAACATTCCAAGAAACATCAAATACAAATCAATTAAATAATAAAAAATACATAATTACAACAAATTATATAATACAAACAAATTAGGTAGTTTTATTGCTTTTGGAGTTTTCATTTTACTAAGGGCATCTGAGAAGTATTTTAGATCAATTTGAAATACAATAAACAAAGGAGGGGATTTAAAATATCTACATTTATTTATAAAGTATTTTGCTAATAATATAATATTATTAATCAAATCGTACAAAACAGAGCACTCTTTGGTTATATTCCGTACATTACATCTTGTAAGGTTAGAGTGAAACCATCAGCAATCACACCCTTCTCTACCATCCAGTCCTGCAATGCTTTCCAAAAAGACTGCGACAAACTACATGTAAAAAATACATGTTCTGTATCTTCAACTAAACATTTGCATAAATAATGTTGAATAACTCTTTTTTTTATGGGTTTTAATGTTTTTTTATTTTTATTTTTTTATTAAGAACATTATATACACAAAGATAAAAGCAGTCACAATGTAGAACAAAAGGGAAAAAAAGAAAGAAAGAAAACTACAGGGTACAAAACAGGGGTATATAACTAATCACAAAAGATCACATCAAAGGAAAAGATTAAAAGACTTACACATTTCAGTTGTTTTTAAAGCCTTCTTGTTACACGAGTTAAAGATAGTCCCAAAGTAATGCTGCAATTCAGCAAGCAAAACATAAAACAGGGTTTTTTTTACCTGAAAATTGATGTTGAATAACTCTTTCAAATTAAATTCGGAGCCCGCATACGTCATTTTCCTGCGCCAAACAGCTCGGAGTCGGAACGCGTTGCGCTAACGTTCAATATGGCGTTAAGCAAAACATACGGACAGAAACCTATTAAATTCCAACTAGAGGAGGATGAAGAATTTTACATGATTGGATCAGAGGTGTGTAATTTAACGCACTAAGCTATTTTATGTTTGTATAAACCGAATATTGTGTTGCATTGAGTGCTAATACACCAGCTAGCTTGCTAAGATTACCGTCGATTGGGATAAGATCGCTAACTGAGGATTCATGGAAAGGAGTCAGTCCCGGCGTTTTACACATCAGGTCTATACCTGATATACCTGGGTGTCCTTTGCGGTGTAGTTGCATTATTACACGATGTGAGCTCACCGGAGATAAATAGATAAAGAGTACAGACACTGGCAGAACTACGGCTAATTATTTAGTCAGCCCTGTTCCATTATGTGTCTGTGTTTAGGTGGGGAATTACTTACGTATGTTCAGAGGGTCTTTATATAAGCGCTACCCATCACTCTCAAGAAGGCTAGCGACAGTAGAGGAGAGAAAGAAAATAGTAGCATCATCTCACGGTAAGTGTGAATTCACTGTAAACATTTGATCAAAGGTCTGAGGATTTAAAAGGGTTCAAGTTGGCTGGAAGTGGCACTTTCTATCTTACAGTATAAGCAATGTTTTGTGTTAGATCACGGTTACACCACTTTAGCCACCAGTGTGACGCTGCTGAAGGCCTCCGAAGTAGAGGAGATATTTGAGGGACATGATGAGAAGTACAAGGCTGTGTCCATCAGCACTGAACCTCCAGCCTATCTCAGGTAAACCATTTCTCACCTTTGATGAAGAAAATGCATTCACACTTGCTTCAAATTTTAACATGGCCATTGCAGAGGATTCTTATGCATAACACAAATGACAACAATTACATTTTTCATAATTGACTATAATTGTACTCTTGTTACATTATGTAGATAATAAAAAGAAGACATTTAGTGCAATAAGCTTCTTTCGTTGGGCTTCTCCTTTCCTCTGTTTTTGCAAGAGATAAATTACATTCATATAAATATCTTAATATATGAATTTTATATATATTTTTTCGTTTCAACAAACAACCCAAAAGAAAGAATCATATAATCATTTTATGCACCAGTTTATCAATACATAAACATCATCCACATATGGTTTAAATAGGAAAATGCCACACAGAGATCTGTACATATTTTCGGGTTATGGCATGAGTGAGGAAATTAATCTTATGGTACAGTATTTAGTGGACATGAGGCCCGTTCACACCTAGAACAATAACTATTAAAACAACTGTAACAATAAATATATTAGCATCCACACCAATGGACAATAACATTCTGTTGTTTATTATAAGGTCTTTTGTTTTGTTTTGTTCTTCATCCAGCCATAGTTGTTGAATGACAGCACATCTGCTTTAAAGGGGTCATATGTTGCTAAAAAGAACATTATTTTGTGTATTTGGTGTAATGAAATGTGTTTATGCGGTTTAAGGTTCAAAAAACACATTATTTTCCACGTACTGCACATTATTGTTTCTCCTCTATGCCCCGCTTTTCTGAAATGCGTCGATTTTTACAAAGCTCATCGGTCTGAAAAGCGAGGTGTGTTGTGATTGGCCAGCTATCCCAACCCTCTACATTGTGAGTAAATCGCTCGCATATGTGACTAAATCTTCACTCTGGGCGACTAAATTATGTCTAATATCAGCCAATGGCTAATAAATTCTCAGATTTTACTCGCCAGTGTGAGTTAGAGGCTAAGTATAAGTTTAGCACAGATATATTTTCACTCGCCAAACACTCTGAGCGCTTCAGAGTATCATTCTCTGTCAAGCGATCTGTGATATTTTCCATTTCATCTCAATGGATGTGCATGTGTATTTGGCGTAACGTAAACTGTAGTGTGAAGGCACACGACTCACCGTCGCTTTCTCTCACATGCGCAAAGAGAGAGAGAGAGAGAGAGAGTCTTACATAACATGCAGAATTGATGCGCTACATGTAAACGATATTCTTTGTTGTATTTTCCTGTCAAAATAACTATAATAATAATAATATAAAGAATTCTTCAGCTTGTAAGACCTGCCAGGTTCTCCGGTAGTGGGCGGAACTAATGTGCAGTGAAATCTCATTGGCTGGCGCTCACTTATTATCGTCCCTGTTTTGATTTCAGCAAATCAGTTCCAGCGAACGCATACAACCTGATTAACATTCATGAATCCAGCAGCTTGTTAATCCTTGGTGCGTTTTATATTGTTCTTATTAGTAGAATTTGTATATTATTATTAGTTTTTTTCCCTGACTGACCAAAAAAAGCACCACCACCAGTCCTAAGTTCAGTTAAAATGACTAATTTGCATTCATACATAGTTACCAAATTTTAATTCTAATTACTAAACTTCTATTATTAAACAATACTTGATTATCATATTATAATGCTTGACTGACTGATGTTAAGAGTGTACTTTCAGATATTTAATATTAGTATAGTATAATTAGTATTTCAGTCTGGCGAGTAAACACTAAAATTTACTAGCCAATGGCGATTCAATTGCCAAGGTTTCCGTAGAGGGTTGTGTCCTGTGTGTTGTGATTGGCTGAATACCTCAAGCGTGTGACGGAAATGTTACGCCCCTCACCATACTGTGATGCCGTGTCCCGGCCGGAGCGACGAGACAAAAACATTAAAACCCATTACAAACGAGGCAT